GGGTATTAGCATCCAGCTACAGCCTTCTAGTTGATAAACAATGGCCCACCAGCTATGGGTGGAAGTGTCCCTGCTAGGGGTGCTCCCAATTCTCAAGGGACCAAGTACACCTTAGCGGAATGCAAGGATTGCCTGAGACAGCTGAGGGGGCAGACAGAAGATGCCACAGGTGAGGACGTGTGAATAGAACGGTTGGTTGATGCCGTGTCTGGGAGGGTGCCCTAGACAGCTGTTGAGTTAGATCCATTTTCTAGCCATGAACGAGAAGGCTCTTTGTTATTTTCTATTTGGACCCCTGACAAAAAGCCTAGAAGAGGCTCTTGACCAAGGAGACCTTGAGGGATTTTGGTGGCTTCTTACTCTAACGGCAGTCAGACCGTTGGCTTAAGAGCTAAGTCTAAGTAAAAATACCTTTTGCACATAAATAAAATGTTATAAAGAATTAGAATGGCAGGAATGTCTTGGAGAAAAGGGAGACAAACCCCAACTATGTCAAAATGTGCATTTTGTAACAATAATTTAAAATGAATCTCGTGAAGGGCAGGGCTCTCTGGTTCATTTCCCAAAGTTCCTAGCAGATTGTGTCTTACAAAGGCTTGTTTTTCTCCCAAAGCTGCAACCCCTCCTCTTTCAGCACTCCTTGAATAAAGGGCCATAAAGATATTTAAACCTATGGTGCATTCTGCATTTTCCCATCACGGAATTGCCTGGTGGACCTTGGCAAATAGTTTTTCTAGTTGAGTTTAGGGTGGGGTTCTTTGGAGAGAGGTTTTTCAAAAAGGGCTTAAGGTAAGCAGCCAAGGTGCCTAGACCTTGATCCTGTAGGTAGACACCCTTGACAGGGTGAAACAAAGGTATAGACTATCTCAAGGTCCAGCTATTTGGTGTATATATTGATTTCCTGGTTATTGTTGGGTTCACACCAGACTTTAGGAAGAGAGAGGAGGGAGGATATTATGCCTTTGCTTTCTCTCTTTCTGTCTCGCTTTTTTCTGGCACATTGGTACTTCAGTGGGGAGAAGGGCATAGCCTCAAGGTTATGGCAAA